GCAGGATCAATGACGAGGTGGCAGGCATACTTCCTTGTAAATAAAATGAATGTTACATACAATGTATATTTGGAAAGAAGACCAAAGGGGTAATTACAAGCTTTAGACAATAATTTATGATGTGGTATTAAAAGAAATTTTCCCTAGGGTGTTTGAAATTATAGGTACTTTTGAGAAGCTGAATTTTTGGCAATTCGCCTCTGAAGTGAGAAAAATGGATGACTGTATCCCCAGAGCTATTAATGCGTATTTTTGAGAGATGCACAGTGACAGAGGAGGACAGCTGGATAGTGACTGCAGTAGCCCCTAGTCATAAGGAAGTAGGCCAAGCTCAGTCGAGGTAGGAGCTGCATCCCTTCTGGGTCCCTCTGGCCCACTCCCTCCAGCATAGCTCATGGGCATTGGGCAGACCTTCCTTTCTCACTTTGCAACCCCGCTGGGCTAAGGCAATCAGAAGAATGCCAGAGTGCTACCCCGTTTCTGGTATTGACCTTTTCCTAGCACATCTGCTTAAGCCAGCAAGTGGCAGAACCACCGTTGCTGCCCAGCAGCCTGTGGCCCTCTGAAAAACCCAGAACCTGGACCCACTCTAGCCCTGCCCTGTAGAATCCCTGGGGTGGGCCATGGCACCCAGGAAGCTAACGCCGATGAAAACTGGACAGAGAGACACACACAAGCAATAAAAGGTTGCATGTCCATCCTGAGTTTTCCTGCAAGGGGTACTTCCTTGACCAGGCAAAGACAGAACAGCAAGTCACCCAGGGGGAGGACAAGGCAACATGACGGACTCTCAGCCCCCCTCTTACTCCCCCACAGTTGATCTGACTCCTGGGCAGTTGTACCCCCACCCTAATATCTCAGGGCCTGAGGATGCTGCCTGGGCATCACAAAGGAGAACATCTGTGCACTTGGTGGGGTGATTGTCATGAGTTCTTTGTTCCCTGCTCAGCCTGCCCGGGAGAGGAAGTGCTGGGTCTCCTTTGTCTGGGAAAGATAGTGATCCGGTGCACCACTTTCTCAGCGCCAGCTTCCCAATGACAAGATCCGTGCTACCCAGGCACACGGAATGAGATGACACTGCAATCCTATCCCAGCAGCCTGGAGCCCTGGTCATCACACTCGCTAAGATAAAACGAGCCTATGAAATACGAGACATAGCAGCTGTCACTGTGAGGGGAGTTTGTACTCTGAACCGCTATCCAAATGATGCTTAACAAGCCACAGTCACCTGAGCTTTTACACTGTGATGTACACACTTCCTTTCCCCACCGTGTTGTGGGCGCCCAAGGTGGGCAGGCAGCTGCATCATGTCAAACAGGGTTGAGCAGTCTAATTTACCATTTGGTCATGCTTTTAAGCAGGGCAGTAGAGAAAACTTACATGTCTGTGGCTCCGTCTATGAAATACTTGCAGGGTGTTGTTGGGGTTTTTTTGTTTTTTGGTTTTTTGAGGGTCTCACTGTATCACCTGGGCTGGAGTGCAGTGGCACGATCACAGCTCACTGAAGCCTCAAACTCCTGGGCCCAAGGGATCCTCCCACCTTAGCCTCTGGAGTAGCCAGAACTACAGGCATGCGCCACCATGCCCAGTTAATGTTTCTGCTACTTTTTGTAGAGATGGGGGTCTCACTATGTTGCTCTGGCTGGTCTCGAACTCCTGGCCTCAAGCGGTCCTCCCACCTCAGCCTCTCAGAGTGCTGGGATTACAGGTATCAACAACAGAGTATCTTTTTGTGAACTAGCCACTTTTAAGAGTGTACTCACCATCCTAAAGTTCTACATAAAATGCTAGGAAATGCAAACTAATCCATAGGGACAGAAGGCAGATTAGTGGTTGCCTAGGAATGAAGAAAGAGGAGGATGGGGAGATTTAAATAGAGATTTAAATTTAGATAGAGAAGAATACATGTTCTGGCTGTAAGAAGAACAATTTGAAAAACACGTGGTGCTTTTGTCATAAGGAAAACCATATAAAGTTAGCTGGAGTTTTAGACGTCCTTACTGTGTACACATCTGGTCCTAGAAGTCTTCTGTGGTGGCTGTGGTGGTGACATGAGAACAGATGAAAAACAGTTTTCAGGGTTTTTCCCTAACGGTTATTAAAAGTATATTTGAAAATAAAAGTGTTTGCATAAACTGCTTTGCTTGTTTTTATATCCACTTGTACATATTAAAATATTAAATTCTAGCCGCGTTCGGTGGCTCAGCCTGTAATCCTGCGCCTTTGGGAGGCTGAGGTGAGTGGATTGCCTGAGCCCGCGGGTTCGAGACCCGCCTGGGCAACTTGGCGAGACCTCATCTCTACAATAAATCAAAAAATTAGCCGGCGTAGTAGCGCACGCCTGTAGCTCCGGCTGCTTGGAGGGCTGAGGCGGAAGGATTGCTGGAACCCAGCAGGTCGAGGCTGCAGTGGCCGGGAGCAGTCACTGCACTCCAGTCTAGGTGACAGAGTGAGACTCCAACTCAAAAAAAAAAAAAAAATTAAATTCTATCTAAATGACATAACCATTCTGTGCACTCCTCATGTAAAGGAAACAAGTCTGTGGAACATAAAATAAAGATTCTCCACAGTGGCGCCCGTTGATCCTTCAGGGCAAAAGTTTAATCCCTTTTCCCAAGAGTCTTTTAAGTCCTACTCAGCTAAATCGGCTGGCAGGTGCTCTAACGCCCTCTCCCCTTCCTCCTACCAACCAGTTCTCATGTGGCATGACGGCTTTCCTTTGAACAGATTTCAACATGTCTATCTATATCGCTAAATATGTACTTCTAGTTCAAAAAAAGAATCATACACGCATCATCCTTCTAAACATGTGGGAGGATGCCCGACTTCACTCTCATAATTACAGAAATGCACATTTAAATAATAAAACCATATTTCACTTATCACACTCACAGAGAGTAAAAACAAACAAACTCTAAATTCCCTATGCTAGACTGGGCGCAATGGTTCATGCCTATAATCCCAGCACTTTGGGAAGCCAAGGTGAGAGGATTGCCTGAGCCCATGGGTTCGAGACTAGCCTGGGCAACTTGGTGAGACCTCATCTCTACAATAAATTTTAAAAAATTAGCTGAGCTTGGTGGTGTGTGTCTGTAGTTCCAGCTACTTGGAAGGCTGAGGTGGAAGGATCACTTGAGCCCAGCAGGTAGAGGCTATGGTGGCCATGAGCGTGCCACTGCACGGCCTGGGCGACAGAGTGAGACTCCATCTCAAAAATTAATTAATTAATTCCTGAGCTAGAAACCAATGTGAAAAACAAGTGGGCTGAGAAATTTGGGAACGTCAATCCACATTCACAATGCACACACCTCCTGACTCCAAAACTCCCACACCAGGGATGAACATGCGCAGATAGGCCCTGGTGACACAAAGTTTGCCTACTGTGCTGTCGGAGCTGGCATCTCCCTCATGGAAGAGACAATTAGTAGTCATTGGGAGGCTCTGGCAGCCCAGACCAGGGCAGTACAGGAGACAGAAGAGGAACCCTCGCAGTCAGCCTGGGGGCCAGGTGGTGATACCCAGAGACAGTCGCTAACGCCCTGTCCTGCACCTCTGCAGGATACACCTCCCTCACATTGCCATCACTTGACCAAGTTCATTGACTCTTGTAAGAATAAAGCCAGGCTGGGCACAGTGGCTCATGCCTGTAATCCCAGCACTTTGGGAGGTCGAGACAGAAGGATTGCTTGAGTCCAGGAGTTCAAGACCAGCCTGGGAAACACAGCGAGACCTCATGTCTACAAAATCAGAAAATTAGTCAGATATGGTGGCGCATGCCTGTAGTCCTAGCTACTCGGGAGGTTAAAGTGGGAGGATTGCTCAAGCCCAGGAGTTGGAGGCTCTGGTGGGCCATGAGCATGCCACTGCACTCCAGCCTGGGTGACAAAGTGAAACCCTTCCTATAAAAGTAAAGTATTAAGGACAAAGCTGCTGCGTTGAGAGAGCTCCTAAGGGGACCACAAAAGAATCACTACATAACATCGTAGTGCCTCTCATGCCCCACTCTCCCAAGTGACTCAGAAACCTCCACTCAGATATTTCACTTTCTGACTTACAAGGAGTTGTTAAAGAGGGTGTTTGAGAACAGCACACACCACTTAGAAATGGAGTTGCTCAATTCATGTGGGAAGAAATGTCTTTCCTTCCTCATTTCTAAACCTCCTCCTTGGATGCTATCTCCTCTTCCACACACACCCCCCCACCAAAAGTCCTGTGGGAAGATGTCTTCAAGTTTGCACTAAAAACTAAAATAAATATTTGTGCCAATTTATTTATTAAGATTTACAGTCAATCTTTGAAAGAATTCACTAATTTTGCCAAAAAGTTCAAGTAAACACTTCACTGTTAATTAGCCAACTATAAAACCAATGTAGAAAATTACTTCTATTTGAAAACACAAATCACAAACACTCTTGTGGTATGCAGGAGTATTATTGTAGTTCCTATATATTCCTGTATACAAAACGTCATGTCCTTAGGTCACCTTCTAACTTCTTAAAACCACCCAAGCTCCCACCGACAGTCCAATGGATAGGAATGGGTGGCCTGCTGCCCTCATCTCAGCACAACACAAGAAACATCTGGAAGCTGATATTTTAGTCTATGTAACAGGCACACTTTCCTAGCATGAAAACTGAAAACACAGTAGCCTGCCACCTTGTGTAAACAGCAGGCAACAACATATCACGTCATTGGGAGCATAATTTCTGTCAGTCAAGAAAATCATCTACATGTTACCAAAGAAAAGATACAAGTATTCAAATTCACTTAATACAGCAAAGCTTTTATCAATCAGTAGTAATCAATAAGGAACCTTTTCGACTTTGGATGCTAGGTTCAGGTTTGGCCCAGAGATACAGTTCTGTTGCCTGCACACACAGGACTGAAGTCCAAAGTGAAATCTCTGCAGTGGTCCAGGTGGGACAACCAGGTTTCTTGTTTTGATGTGCTACTCACTTCTGTTTGTCTTGGAAAATGTGGGAGGATGCACAGGATCTTACCTTTTGACGACCAGCTGCAGGGTTTTATGGGACCCCTTCACCAGGCAAATCGCTTCCTGTCTAAATCCTGAGAGACCAATGCCATTGATGCCGACTATCTCGTCTCCGGCCAGTAACTTGTCAACCGCCGCAGCTTTACTCCCTTCCTCGATCTGCAACAGAGAAGCAAGTTCCATAAGCCCCTGAAAGTACGGGCGATTCCCGAGTCAAAACAAGTCCCCAGAATGCAGCCAGGGAGACCACATGCTTGGCATGAACAGGGCCCAGAGGCTGACCTTAGTCCAGCTTGGGGGCCCAGGGATGTACTAACATGTGGCTTCTTTCACCCATCCCTCACCCTGGTCTGCCTTCCCAAGGCTGCTATTCACCAAGGGAACAGCGATGCTCAGAAACATACAACTGAAAATATGGAATCCAAACAGGTTCATCTTCTGGATTTCCTTTATTCAAACAGTAATTTTGGATCATTTTTATTATTTACAAATTTTTCCTCATACATTGATCTTGGACCTAGTTTGATTGCTTTTGTTAACAGTTTTACTGAGACATCATTGGAATGCCATACAGTCACTCATAGAAAATCTACAACTGAGGGTACCTGATCTCAAACCAGGAGAAATAGGGAACAAAGGGTGGTCCAAATGTTACCTGTATGATGACCACTTGTGTACCTAATCCTGAATTGTACCCCACATCTTTAAAAGAGAAAAACAAAATCTGCAACTGCGTGGCTTTTTGTATATTTACAGAGCTGTACAGCCATCATCACCATCAATGTGAGAGCATTTCCCCTAACCCTGAAAGAAACCTTGTGTTCCTGACCAGTCCTTTTCCAATCCCCCCAGCCCCGGCAAGCACCAGTGTTTGTGTTTACAGATTTGTCTGTTCTAGACAGTTCACATAAATGGAGTCATACAACACACATGGCCTTTATGTCTGGCTTCTTTCACTGAGCACAATGCTTTCAAAGTTCATCCACATTGTAGCCTGTATGAATACTTCATTTTTTTTTTTAGATTTTTTTTTTTTTTTTTGAGTCAGAGTCTCACTATACCCAGGTTGGAGTACAATGGCACATTCACGGCCACTACAGCCTCGACCTGCTGGGCTTAGGTGATCCTTCTGCCTCAGCCTTCCAAGTAGCTAGAACCACAGGTGTTCACTATCACACCCGCCTAATTTTTTGATTTATTGTAGAGACGAGGTCTCGCCATATTGCCCAGCCTGGCCTCGAACCCCAAACCCACGGGCTCAGGCAACCCTCTCGCCTCCGCCTCCCAAAGTGCTGGGATTATAGGCGTGAGGCATCGCGCCCAGTGAACCCCTGATTTTTAATTCCTATATGGTAGTAATCCAACCCAGCAGTAACTAACCCCAGTTGACGTGTCTATTTTCTGCACTAGAGGTTGGCAAACTGGCCAATGAGTCAAAATCAGTCAGCTGCCTTTTCATGTTTTGGTAAAGTTTCACTGGAATACAGCCACGCCCATTCATTTACATACTGCTACAGGGCAGAATAGAGTAGCTTGGCCCACAAAACCAAAAATATTTACTACTTGGCTTGTTACAAAAATGGTTTGCCAAGCCCTGTTTCACATGAAAAAAACTTTACAAAAACTGCTACAAAAACCAGTGGGGAAAAAAGTACTGGCTATGGGCACATCAGTATATAGTTTGTGACTTCACTGCTGCCCCACTGTATGCCATGGCCAAACAAGAATAACTGCCCAAAGTCAGCACAAAGCGAACCAGCACCTTCCTCTGAAGGGAGAAAGCAAGGTCACAACCAATGGCGCCTCAGTTGTGAAGCTGCAGATTTTTTTTCTTTTTTTGAGTCGGAGTCTCACTATGTCGCCCAGGCTGGAGTGCAGTGGCATGCTCACGGTCACCGTAGCCTTGACCTGCTGGGCTCAGGTGATCCTTCTGCCTCAGCTTTCCAAGTAGCTGGAACTACAGGTACGCACTACCATGCCCAGTTTATTGTAGAGATGAGGTCTCACCAAGTTGCCAGGCTGGTCTCCAACTCCTGGGCTCAGGTAATTCTCTCACCTCAGTCTCCCGAAGTGCTGGGATTATAAGCTTGAGCCACCATGCCCGGCCTAAGCTGCAGATTTTCTTAAAACCTTCGCCCAAGCCGGGCTCGGTGGCTCAGCCTATAATCCCGCGCCTTTGGGAGGCTGAGGTGAGTGGATTGCCTGAGC